AACCGCCTTCACACTTGAAGGTTGAATTTTCTTGTTTTGATTTCGTGTATAAATAGATAGCTAAGCTTATGCAATTATGTGTGGAGAGATTGAGAGAAACACTAGAGAGAAAGAGAGAGGGGTTGTTGTAAGCTTTTGTTTATGTTATTGTAAGCTTTGTTCTTGAAATAAAACAGTGTGTTTTATCCCCTCCGAGTATTTCAAAGTCACCACAAGTGGTTTCTCCCACCAACAAGGGCAAAGATTGATAAAGCAAGGCAATGGCTGAGTCAGAAGATGGATGAATTCAAGACAGAAGAAGATAGTCAAGAGAAAAAAGGGCTCATTGTTTCAATGCCGATTTCAAGCGATTCCAATCTAACAAGAAGCAGCTCTCGAGTAGCCAGTGGAGAAGCGCTGAATTTCTTTCAGTGCTTGCCTTCTGATCCTGAAGCAATGGCTGCAGGCCACCATATGTCTTCTCTTCTAGGTTGCTTTGAGCAACTGATGAATACTGTTCTTGGCGTGTCTGCTGAAATTGAGAGAATCAAGGCTGGTGTAAGTGCAGGCTTGGAAAAGGCCAGGTAGTTGTTTGGATTTCTTGAAACTTGTACATTATTGTACATTTCTAATAGTGAAATAATTTAGTTGCATAAAAAATAACAGGGAAAGTTCATTCGTTTTTAAAGAGGCCTTATCCGAATTTTATGAGTTTTCCCCGAATAGATTACCATCAAAGACAACTGATATTGATGAATCCATCAAAGAAGACGAATAGGAATGCATCTGATAATTCTGGAGAACAAGGAAAGGAACACGCTTTGCCTAGTAAGAAGCAAGATGGTGGAGATGCAGAAGAAGACAATAGGAATGCATCTGATCATCCCGGGGAACAAGGAAATGAACACGCTTTGCCTAGTAAGAAGCAAGATGGTGGAGATGCAGAAGAAGACAATAGGAATGCATCTGATCATCCCGGGGAACAAGGAAATGAACACGCTTTGCCTAGTAACAAGCAAGATGGCGGAGATGCAGAAGAAGACAATAGGAATGCATCTGATCATCCCGGGGAACAAGGAAATGAACACGCTTTGCCTAGTAACAAGCAAGATGGCGGAGATGCAGAAGAAGACAATAGGAATGCATCTGATCATTCTGGAGAACAAGGAAGGGAACACGCTTTGCCTAGGAAGAAGCAAGAAGGTGGAGATGCAGAAGAGTATGCGTTAAAATTTTTACCACGTCTTTTGTTTAGTTTCGGGTCATATTTGAGCATCTTTTGTTAGTAGTTTTTTTTCTTTTTTATTTTTCCAGAGTAGAAAAGAACCAACTTGTTCACTTTGTTCCACATATTCTTCTTATAAATTTTGCACTCTATATATGGACTTTAGAAATGTTTGTCTTCTGTTGACGGAGCAGAAATGTCTTTCTTACCCTCTCTCTATCTCTCAGAATCACGAAGCCATTAATTCCTTCATCAATGGCTGACGAAGATAACGCTCAAATTGACCAAGAAATTCAGAATCTTGTTAAGAAACTCGATGTGTGCGTTGCAAAGTTTGATCAAAAGAGGCAGGTTTTACAGAAAGCAAATGAGTCAGAAACCGAAGCACTCAGGAAAGATCAAAGGGAAACCAGGGAACTAAGGTTGACTCTTGTTTCACGAATCTGGTGCTACGAGCAGCAACATTGAAGCTGGAAGCCGGAAGATTGCTAATGTGAAGCAATGGCTGAATCAGATGGCACTGATCAGTGGTGACACCAGTGGAGAACATGATCAGGGGCATGTGTATTTGCTCTTAAATAATGATTGTGCACCTTGAATGAAATTAAAAGCCATAATATTTTATGTCTTTTCTATGTTTCCAGCAATAATTACTCTGTGCTTGTTGTTGATGATGATCGTAATGCTCGAGACACCATTCAGAGATACACGATGCCAGTAGGGACAGAAAAGCATCGTGCAATGGAATTTCAAGAGGCGAAGAATGGCAAAGAAGCTGTTTATCTTCATCTTGCTGGGGCTTCTTTTGTTCTCATTATTATGGACGATCAAATGCCCATCAAGACTGGAATTCAGGTATATATTTTTTTATCAGCTTCAATTTATTAATGTTCTCAAAAACCCCATCCACATTATAATCATAATATAATGATAGTTTTTATGAACCACTAACTTGGTATAGTGAAAAGGAGACAACTGCCAGTCTGCAAAATCTTGATGAAATACGAAGGAACTCAATGAAATTGAAAGTTGATCCATCATGATTCTGAGGCCATTTTGGCTTAGTCTTGAAGCATAAAATTGTAAATTTCGTTTCCTGTATAAAAACTTCAACTGCCAATTAATGTCGTGATATACATTTTATATGATATTTACATCTGTTCCTGATCATATACATATATGTCAGGCAACACAGCTGCTACGCAAGATGGGTGTTAAGAGTCAGATTGTAGGTGTCACTTCTGAGTCTGACCAACAAGCTTTCATCCACGCTGGCCTCAACACCTGCATTCGAAAGCCACGGAGTCTTGCATAGATCACTGCATTCCAACAAACGAAGAAGGACCGATAAATCACAAGCTTGAGAGTTTCTGGGTCTCCGTGGTCTATGTTGGGTCTTTTTTTCATGGTCCTTTGATGTAGAGTTGAACTCTACGGATAAAGTTGTAAAAACGAATAATATATGCGCTTCAAGTTGAATAAGGAAGTGTTGCTTGCAATAGCTTAAGCATAAAAAGGCTGCTAACACGTTCGCCTTCAGGTTTCTACAGACCTCGTTTTGCGAAGCGTTAGCATACTTGATAACACATACAGAATATTTCTTTTTACCAATTTTATTTTAGATGTCTTTGCCCCCTTGAGAAAAGGTCAGCAAGGCATCGGCCAGCACAATTCTCCACAAGAGGTCATTCATTAAAATGAGGCAGCAAACTATCAAAATATCAAAGATTAATGAGTTATAAAGAAACAAGGTAATGTTATAATTCTTTTGAAATTAGAGTTACGAAAAAACTGGAACTAATTCAAGAGCACGGAGGGGACATTTTACAAGGCATCTCAAACAATCATGTCAACAAAAGCATCACCTACTATGACAGAATTTATTAATCATCTGTTCACATGAACAAGCTCCTATGATCAACTAGCAAATAACGAAAGCATCTAGTACAACAGAAAGTAGAACTTAGACAAGTACAATGGAAACATGTTTTTTTATTGAATAAGGGAGGCTGAAAGAACCCGAAAGTCATCAGTCTTTTCCGGTATTGAGTTTAATTTGAAACAATAGACTGATATCAAGGTAATGGCAATATACAAGGCAGATGGCCTTAACCATGATTCTGGACGACTGCAAACCTTTAGCTTGCACAGGGCACATGGCCAAATGTAATGTATGATGGGCATGTTGATCAGTCCACAAGCACCTTACAAGGACGACTCCCAGTTCTGGTTTATCTGGTTTGCTATTAATATTGTGGTCAGATGAATTTACTAATTATGAGTTACAATAATGTAGCTTTAAGGCGATCTCTTAAAGAATGAAGCACAACAATGCGATGCAGCTTGTTAGAAGGCAGCAACTGGAGGTATGTGAGTGTCACTGTGAAAGCTGCAGAAACTTATCTGTATTCATTCGGATTAGAGAGCTTAACGAAGAAGATGTTGTTGCTCTTCATGCTTCTTTAGGTTGCATTCAAAGATGTATACATCGACCTGTTTGCTAATATTCTAACTCTTAAGAATTATTTCATGGAAGTTGTCAGTTTTTTCTCGGTTCTATACTACCAGCATGCATGTTCATTTTACTTATTCACATCTACTTCTTCCATCATATTTTCCTGATAGGCAACAACACAGTTTTTGCTCTCTTATGTTCCTCCTAATTGGCATGGTTCCAGTTTTGATATTCACCATGAGATTTATAGAAGGAAACGTGGGAGAATGAGGCTTCTGTAGCATTTAAATTTCCGCTATGAATTTGTTGAAAATAATACTGATGATCAGAACCTAGCCATAAAAGTCTTGTGAGAACCTCGACTCCTTCTTAGTTAGGCCTTCTTAGCTTGTTATGTATTCGGCCTGCTTTGTTTGGGCTACAAAACAACCCCTTGCAGCTTTAACATTAGCTTGTCCGCTTCCTAATGAAACAAAGAATCCTTCTTAGTTTGTACTGGATCCTTGGGCCAAGATATGCTGCGGGCCTATCAAATTTTTCCTAATATAAAAAAAATATTCAATGATGATAATGTTTTTAAATAATAAAAAAAAAAGAGTTGGGAATAGTTTGGATTGCTGCAGGCTGAACATCAGTTGGAACATCAAACCCTTCCCCCTCTAATCTTGCTATCAACTGAGGTGGAAGGCCAAGCTCAGAAAATGACCCTGCAGCAAACGGGGCGGACTCTATTTCGAGTGTTTTTTTTCCACTCTTACAGCTCTCCTTGTGTTTTCTTGAGGAATGGTCCTCGTATTCGTATGTATCACTTTCTTTTCTTATACATATTAATTTTTTTATTTAAAAAAATAACATAAATTATAGAAAATGAACGAAAACAAACTCTAATTTTCAATCCTTGAAAAGGAATAAGGTTTTTTTTTCCATAATTCAATAATTAAATATGGATTCATTTAAAAACATAAACTTTATGATAAGTGGTCTATTCAATATCTTTTATATTAATTTATATTTTTATATTTGATCAATAATGTTGATAGGAAGAGTACTGGTTCCATAAGTTGAAGGGGGCAGAATGACTATAGCCACATGTCATGCCAAAGCGCGAATAATAGCTTTAAAAAAAATTTATTTCAAGGATGTTTTATTATTTTACTATGTATGAAAAAATTAAAAAGATTAATTTATCCTTATAAATACTGTAAGGATTAATGAATCATTATAAAAAAATTAATAGCATCCCAAATAGTTAATTATCTTTTCTCATTTGCTAACTATCCTAAATCTGAAAGTGGCTCTAGTACATAGATTTGTAAATTACATAATTATATTATATAGTTCCTAGTACTGATAAATACACTTGTGAAACTTTTTTTATTTTGTGCAGTGTTGCTTAAAGTCTTTCAGCCTAGAGGTCTCAAGATGAGTTATAATTTATGCTACTCCGTACAAAACCTCTTGGATTATTAAATTACATATTGCAAGCCTCCTCAGGCGCATATTTTTTATTTTTTATTAATTTTTTATTCAGTAATACCATTCCATGTTTATGCTGGAAATCTTGAATTGTTTTATGCTTTTTATTAATTCAACCGTTTCTGTGTAGTATTGGGTTTAGCACACTACCTTTTTACTTCTACACTAACCATCTCCGCAACTAGTTATATGTCTATCTAAGAACCTGGTTGCCAGCACACAAGATGTTTCTTTTTTTTTTTCTTTTTTTCTTTTTTTTTAAATAATCTTCGAATGAAATTGGACGGCCGCAAATGGAAAGGAAGCTGTTGATAGTCTTCGCGGTGGAGTTCCCTTCAGAAATTCATGTTTTTTTTTTTTTAATCATAACTGAGGGACCTACTTGAATTAATTAATTAATAAATCAGGATACGGGACTTGAAGCAGGTCTCCAAGGCTGCTTTCAAAAGCCGACGACTTTCGAGATAATCGCTCCGTCTATCTTTAACCCAACAAACAATTACTCTTCCTCCTAAAACCAAAACTACAAATCATTATCGTACTCCATGATCCATACTTTAATATTTATTTTTTATTTCTCAAACTTTTTTTTTTCTAATTTCTACCATTCAGATCTTTTTCTTTTAATTTTTTTCTTTAATATTTTATTAATTTTAAATTAATCACAGTAAAACACCTCAATTTATTTTTTTATTTCTCAAAATTTTGTTCTTTTTATTTTTTATTTTCACCTTTCAAGTTATTTTTTTTTAATTTTATCTTTTAATATTTTATTTTATTTTATTAGTTTTCATAATCTTTTTCTTTCGCATGCCAAAATTTCCTTTTATTTTCTTTGGATTGAATTTTTTATGGTTTTTTAATTAATTTCATTTGTTTTTTTAATTTTCAAACAAACATTCCGGCTTAGTTGTTGCTTAATTCCAAGATTTTTTTTATTCATTTATCGTATTAGTAAGTAAAAATATTTTTAAAAAATAAAATTTTTAAATCTTAATAAATTTATAATTTAAATTATAAGTTTTACAAGTTAAGGTGAAAATCATTTGCACAGGTCGGCTTTGTATATTACCACCTCAATTTTAATTGTAATTGTAATTGTAATTGTAATGTATCCTCTTTTATATAATAGCAAGTTAGCAACCAACACCTCTCACGCATGTGAAAGAACCATTTCTGCTTAACAGAAATAACTGCTCTCATTTGGCGCTCTCTGGAAACTCACCAATTTCGGTCCCTCTCCCAAAAGCAAGAAAATCAAGAAACATACATCAATGGATGGCACATATCACACTCTCATTGATTGTGAAATCTCTCACATACTTGAACAGCTTAGTTTTTGTCTTGGAAACTTCAGTCAAAGGATGAATGAATCTCCCAAGGCTCGCAGAGAAATAATCCAAATAATAAGGGAAGGAGCTAGAAAAACCTCCCAAGAAAGTTCAACCCATATGTTAATGGCTGACGAAACCTCTCAAGTTTATTATAACCTTGAGAGTACCGTTGCAGAACTGAATGATTACATTACTGAAATTGGTCGAAAGATGATTGCATCTGCCACTGTGTTCACGGAAGGCATCGAAGAACTGAAGAAAAACCGAGAAGAATCCTTGAAGTTATTCAGTGATTTAGTGGTCAATATGAGGGGCATTGGTCGTGGAATAAGCCTTCTTGAAGCGCGCAAAAAGATTGCTTATGTGAATCGATGGCTGAAAGAAAGGACCGTTGTTATTGATGAAACCACGAAAGAGGAACATAGTGCAACTGGATTTGATCAAACTACTGCTCCTGGAAGGGAGCAAGATGTGCTTGGTTTGGGGAATGGTAGTGAAGAAGACGCAGAGGGGTAGGTGTTGTAGTTTTTATCATGCTTTTTGCTTAGTTTGGACTGGAGAAGGCAGAACTTGCATCTTAATTAACTCTGGTTCTCTTTTGATCCCAGAAAACTGCATTAAATCCCAATATTGCTAATATAGTTTTAGTCTTGGATCATATCGTGAGCCCTCTTCAGATATGGCTTACTTTAAAGTTCCAAGATCGTGTAAATTAATTCTAAGAATTGATATCCATTTTCATGTTCACAGACGCCGAAAAGAGAAGAAACCGGGGCATGAAGAGGTCAAGAGCAGCTCCCAGGGTTCAAGTTCAACCGCTAGCGACAAGTTCTCTGTGCTTCTTGTGGAATATGAATCTTCTGATCGCTTATTCAACAACACGCAGATAATCGAGTTTGGAAGGGAATATAATCCTGGGATGGAAGTTAAAGTGGCCAAAAGTGGAGAAAAAGCTATTCATCTTCATAGTCAAGGGGCTTCTTTTGACCTCATTCTTATGGATATGGATATGCCTGCTCATGTAACGAGTGGATATGAGGTATAGTTTTATGACCTTAAACTTCAGAGAATATATTTTCGTAGCTTAAGGCAATCTCTTGAATAATAAACTACAATAAGACGAGACAGCTTATTAAAAGGGCAGGGTATGTGAGTGTCTTTGTGAAAACTTCAGAAACTTATCTGCATTAATTCAGATTAGAGAGCTTAACGAAGAAGATGTTGTTGCTCTTCATGCTTCTTTAGGTTCCATTCAAAGATGTATACATCGACCTGCTTGCTAATATTCTAACTCTAAAGAGTTATTTCATGGTTGTCCCTTTTTTTCTCATTTCTATGCTATGAACATGCATGTTCTTTTTACTTACTCGCATCTACTTCTTCAATCATAATTTCTTGATAGGCAACAACACAGCTGCGAAGCTTATTTGGTGTGAAGAGTAACATTGTTGGTCTCACCTATACGTCAGAGTCTGAGGACATAAATGAGTTCATTCGAGCAGGCCACCTAAATGGCTGTATTGGAAAGCCACTGACTGATGAAAAGATTGACTCTCTCATTCCTATCCCAGAAGGCAATAACTTGCCCACAGCAGGAAGACAAAGGACTGCTCTATCCATGAGCTTTATGATTTGAGTTTTTGGTGTAGGAGTCCACGCTACTTTCTTGTAGATGCCGGAGGATAAATGAATTGTTGAACCAAATAAAACCGTCAGGGGAGAATAAAGACAATAGTAGCTACAGATCGATAAGCTTCTATTACAGATTTGGCTAATCAGAAATCTAGGAGAGGTGGCTACCTTGACTGGAAATTGTCTGTGTGCTGTTTTAGCTATTGTGCTTTGTCTCCAAGAAGGGAAAATAACAAAATCCGAGGACAGGGCTTCTTAGAAATTCTTATGGTAGTTGTCGTTCTGTTAGGATAGTCATTATACGCATAGATTTGACCATTGCAGAAATGAGTGGAATCTACGTCTGAGAAATTTAGGCCATGATCGTTTTGCTTTCCTTCGTTTACTGGTAATGATGAATACTGTATCAGAATATTGCTGGCAGAAGACTTCTAGTTCCTGCTCTCCTATGTTCCACCTAATTGGCACGGTTCCAGTTTTGAATTTCACCATAGGATTTAAAGAAGGAAACATAGGAGAATGTGGCATCTGAGTTTCTTCTATCCATTTGTTGAAAATGATACTGATGATCATAACCTTATGAGAACCTCGAGTCCTTCTTAGCTTTTGTATACATTAGGAAAGGTCTAGCCTACTAAACAACACAGAAATGATAGGCGAAGAGATACCAGACATTACTTAAAAAAAAAAAAAAAAAAGATGTTTTTTTGTTTATCAATTATTTTGATTTTTTTGTGTGCAAGTGATTTTCATGTGTTTTTTAACGAGTCTAATAGAAGTTCAACTGCTAAAATCTTAAAAAATTACAATAATTCGACGATTGAAATTAGAGAGAGAAAAAGCTCAGCAAGTGTAAATAAGAACAAAAACGGGGGCAATAGCCCAGGGGTTTGTACGGACTGGCCTAAAATTTGCGTGATGCCCATTGCAGCCTTGTTTCTCCTGGGCTCATGTCATCATCTTTTCGTGGGCTTTAACAACGTATGACTCAAAGGGCCATGACCCAAATGTATCTTCCAGCAAGTGGCATCATTTACTGGTTTCTCCCTAGCTCTCATCTCCTCAACAGTCAATCCAAAAACGTTGTTTGTTACTTCGCGAGGTCTAATCTCTGCCTGCTGAACAGGTAGTCTCTGCCATCAATACTGTTTATAAGTTGATTATTAATTTGGTTCTATTAGATGGCTTTCATTATTATAAATTGATTGTTAATTTTGGTAGTTCTAGGTTCTTAAATTGTATACCTATCAGGTCCAAATTTGGCCAGAATACTTGATTTGGGTCTGCTTTGAGTGAGTTCATGAACTGGGTTTTTTAATTCTTTGCGTGTTTGATTTGAAAGTTAGGTATTTTAGGAAGAGAAGATGGGATTTATCATGGAATTTGCTGAGAATTTGATTCTGAGGTTAATGGAGGATCCAAAGGAGAGGGACTGGAAGTTCAGGGAGCGTGTATATGCAGTTAAGGATCGATGCCAAAAGACCAAGGAAATGTGGAGCTATCCTCTTCGCCCTTATGGGTTTTGGACATTTGAGCGCCACAATGCGCAGCTTGCTTGGGATGCTAAGATTAGCCAGGTTCCTGGTCGGAGGGACCCCTATGATGACCTCCTTCAAGATAGTTATGGCTTCCCCAAGTGAATGAATTCACTCAAGGTTTGTTTTTCCAGTTCTATTGAGTTTAAATTAGATTGGTTTTATGTTGATATTTGTGGGGTGAGGAGTATGTTATACTGAATTATTGATTGAGGGTGTTGTGGTATTTTCGTTTTGTTGGTTTTGTGCTCCAATGTTTTCTTGGATTCATGTGGCGTCAAGTGTTTTATTGAATGACATGGTTGTTGCAAAGTATATGATCATGCAACGATAGGCTTTTATTTTCAGGGGCATGGAAACTAAGGTGATTTTCAGTTTACTCTATCTTAGAAGATCTTCAATTTGAGATAAATTGTCACTTAAACTCAATCAAAGAAGCTTTTTGCTCTAGAATGAATGACTTTCGTAACTCTTGATAAATATATCAATTGCTTTGACAATGAGAATATGAGATTGCTTGGAGGGGCAATGATGGCTTAGCTATTGAAAATGTAAGAAAATTCAGTAATATTTTAATGTCATGATGGATTTGATGGCGTAAGACTATATTTTCCTTCATTTGATTTCACTATTTGTATGCATGCACTTTTTATCTCTGTTTGTTAGAAGGGATAAGCTTCATGTCTATTCTAATATTGCAATGAGTTGTTTAACTCTCTCCTCTCTTTTTTTTAATTGCTTCTTTGCCTTTTGAGGATTGTAACCAACAATTCAAATATAACTGACGTTTAGCTTCATAATTTTAGTTGAAAGTAACCATACTGCTTGCTCGTAGTGGAGTTTGTTTGTGTGGAATACCAGTCTACAATACATTTCTTATTCTTAGGTTTTTATATAGTTTGAATATTTCTATGAGATATTGCATCTCTCACCAGATTTGGGATGAAGCAGCATAGATTATGTGCTCGAACCTTGAAACTGATTTAGTGGTTGATTGGAAAGGTGCACAGTGTGTGAAGTTTTTTGGTATTTTCCATAGCAAATAAAAGTTATTTTATGGGTGGTGCCGGTTTCACCCAAAGCTTCATCTTCTGGGTTATTGCATAGACTTTGTTAAAGTGAAACCTAGTTTATCATCATATCAAGATATATGTGGAAGCGTATTAATTTGAGTCTCGTGGAGAACTCTTTTTTCTTTTAAACCTTCCAAGTCTAATAGAGAACCATAACTGACTTGTTTGATCATGCGATCAGTACTCATAAATTTTGCCCCTTTGATGCAGAAAGTTCAGTTTCCATTAGCAGACTGACAAGAAAGCTTTCTTGGAGAAACGAGTGTGGAGATTGATGTTTAAGCTCTTTTCTTTTTCCCGTCTCAAAGTAGTGTATTCTGTGGACTGTACGGATGTCAGCTGATTTCGTAATACCCTGGATGTCCGAGACTTGTTCATGAGTTTGAATAATTGCCCATATAACTCTTGTCAATGGAATTGAGCGTTCATGATGACTCCTATTCTTCTTAATCCTTCCTCACAAATAAATTCCCTCCGGTGTTCTTTAACTGGATCAGGGAAAGTTTTTTTTATTCTTCTTATACCTCGGCATTGTTCCTGGATATTCCTGCCATCTTGCTAGTCTTCCTTCGTGGGGGATGGCATCGACAGAGTAACTAGTTAGAATTTGTACTGCAAGATAATTAAGAATAACAGATGCAACTGCTCCTAGTGATTCTTTTTAATAATGTTCAGATTTCAAACCATGAAGACGATTTCTGAGATGTTTATTAGCCTGTTCATCATGCTGTAAAACCTGCTCAATGCCATCTCTTCACGATAGAACAGAATATTTTGAGAACTGAAGCAGTAGGAGCCTACGCGTTCTCTAATGAAAATAGAAGCGAAGTAAACTTGAAACCCTGAAGCACACAGGATCTTTATCCTTATATAACGCAAAGTAAGATGTACTGTAAAAGCATACCACCCATGAAGCAACATCCACTTTAAGGCTTTATTCCCGCACGAGAACCATATCTGGCGGAAGGCAAGCACCCACTGCTTTAAACAAGACAATGGCAAAACGAAACAGGGTCCAACGAGCCAACCCATCAGGCCAGAGGATTCTGGATAAAAGGGGAGCATATCCTAACGACATAATCTAATACAGTGCTGTAATCTACAAAATAGATACGAGGTGGAATTACAAAAAACTCACATCCATTGATATGAGAAAAAGGGTCCGCTGAATTAATTTACATATTAGCACGCAGTTCATGTTTCAACCAACACCCACAAACCCTGTCAGATTTTCACCAGCCATGCTACTAGGCTAAGGATGCCCTTGCACGAAATGCATTATTTTTAATCAGAGTCTGATGAACTCGAATCTTTATGTGCAGCTGCATCTTCTTTCTTCTCTGCCTCACCTTGCTTGAATGCCTTGGAGATCTCCTCAATCGGAACCACAGGCAGGTAACCAAACACTGTATAGCCCTTCTGGTTCATCTCCTTGACGAAATGGTTGTACTTATCTGACCAATGCGCAGCTGCTGGAACAGCCACCCCTGCAGCTTTGTGGACAAAGGGAAACTGGTCGAGTTTAACCCACACCTTCACAGATTCAGTGAGGAACAAATGCTTAGACTCTGTAGCTACGTAGTGCAAAGCAGCGCGGGGTCCTCCTGCTTGAAACTCGTTCGCAAGTACTTTCGCCTTTTCTGAAGCTTTCTCAATCAAATAGTGTGCTTGGCTCACAACTTGCTTCGCAACAGGAGGAGCATGCTTATCAAACTTGGCTGTTGCTCCATCTACCTGCAGACGTAGAAAGAAAAAACCTCAAGAATCAAATGAGAAAAAAAAAAGATGACCATGAATCAAAATGGGATGAAAAGATTACCTTGTGATCAAGAAAGACAAGAAGATGATCAGGGACGCCCTTGAGTTTATCATAAACAGGACTCACCACAGCATTAACAGTGCTCTCAACAGCTCCAATGGGAGATCTCAGAGGCCCGGAGTTACGTTTCGCATAATCATAAAGATTGGAAACGGAAACCAAAATCTGAATCGTAGCTATCCTCACAAACCCTAAGTGCTTCAGCTCTAGATCTTTCTTACTGCTCACTACCTCCATCATCCGCATCAAGATTTCTCTACTTATTTGTTTCTGATTCCTTGCGGTTCTTCAGATTTTGGAGTGTATAGGAGTTTAGAGTCAGGTTTTGCGTTTATCTATATAGAAAGGAAGGGAGTGTGATACGTGTGTGAGTGAATCTGATTCGTGAGGGTGATCTGACGGTTGAAATGAGATCTAGATGGATGGTATCATAACGTGTCCCCCTTCTTTGGATCCAGATTTGGTGAGGAGGTGTGGGGTCATGTGGTGGGGTCCAGGAGAAGGCTTCGTGAAGTACACGTGGTTACGGGTGGGGTGGTGGAGGGCGGAAATATCTGGGAAGCTGCATTAAATTTCGTGCTGGGCAAAATGCGCCTTTAGCTGTCCTTTTCTGGTTGGCTGTTGTGGAACATTGTTTTGGACAAGGGGGGATTTGTACTTCCCATGACCGACAAATTTACTAAGTATTTTAAGAAAAATAAAAAATAAAAATTGTTTCAAATTATTTTTCTTTCTTTTTTCTTGGACATTCAAGGGGTCCATAGAATATCTACGGAAATAAAATATATAGATCCCTCGTCCCAAGAGGTGATCCTCTCCTTTCTCACAATATAAAAATTTGATGAACTAAAATCTATTAGAATTGAGCACAGCGTTAAGTTAATAAAGAATCGTCAATATATGGTGGTTAGAGGATAGATAGTCAGGTGATAATGCCTCCTCATTGATCAGCAAGAAAAGTTTTAAAGGAATTTTTTTAAGAGGTGTAATTTAATTGATTAAATTTTAAATTTATTTTTTAAAAATTATTAATTTGAGTTTTATAAATTTTATAATTATTAAAATTTATTTAATTATAAATTTTTAAAATATACATAAATTATGTGAATATTTACATTAATAAAAAAAATTTAAAGAAATTCTAAGCATAGTAGAGATTTGCATGTAAGATTATGATTTGATTCATACACCATGGCATTTCCCCCCGTTGAGAAAAGAAGAAAGTACCAGGCTATACTTGGAAATCCAAGCTAGCTAAACAAGCATCCATGTAGGTAGGGATGAGCATTCCCATGTAAATCATATTCTAGAAAAATCTAATTTTCTAACCCGAATTATTTTTTTTATTCTTTGGATTATATTTTGAGAAATTCGAGTAAATCTCTTTTTGGCTCCAATCTTAGTGACAAATTACTTATATATATATATATATATATGAAATTAAAAAAATATTTTTTATCTCGAGTAATTTGGATTTTCTTGACCTAGTTTCTTTAAAATTATTTTAGACAATTCCGGAACTTCTTGTTCTCTGAATATTTTCAAAAACCTTTACTTGAATAGGTTCAGAATTTTCAAAACTTTTTAAATAATAGGCTTCTTCTTATATAGGGGAAACTTACTGACCCAATAATCTAATCCATATCAATAATTGTTTGATGCTCATAACCAGTAGTAGCATTTAACCTATATTTATCAAGGAGGATGGATTGAGTAAAAAGAAGTGATAAAAACAAAAGAAAAAAAAGGATGGATAACTTGCTATCCATCTAGTTGTTTAGCTAAACGAAATGGGAAGTATAAGAACAAATCATCTAAATTAACAATTACAAAGATTATAAAATAAAAAAATGGTAGTGGTCAATCTTTTTAAACTGGAAGAATTCAAAATTATAAGAGAGAAAGGGCTGGAGGGATCCCTCATTTCTTTCATTAGGTCTTTATCCTTGTTATCAAACTAAGTATACACCTAATGAGATTACTAAAAACCTAGGTCATGAAAGGTCTTCCAAGGCTATAAAGGATTAAAAGGGTGGTAAAGTTGGATTAGAGCAACTACAAAATCTACACAAATAAAAAAAAAAGTTTTTTTTATAGGTTGGGACCCTCTAATATCTAAGTCGGTCGGTGTAGGTTGGAAAAAAAGATCTTGTGAGCGTGTGTGTTTAGTTATAAAGTAGTGTTTAAGATTTTAATAATAATAAGAAGAAGAAGGTTGTTTATATATCCTTAAACTCAAACGAGTGTATGATGTACTTGTCCTCTCATAATTTTGGATTACCTGGGACAAAAAAGTTCAAGAATGATAATGGGTTGTTGTAAGCATAATTGTGGAATACTTGAAGAAAAGAGCATACAGTTTTGAACTAATTAAGAACAAAGAATCATAATTGGCTTTGTAGGATGACTGAGATCTATATGATCATCTTTCTCATCGATCGAGGAGTGCAGCCTGGAAGTAAGTTTAGTCGGTAATGTCATTATCTTTATAATTCCATCTCCTGTTGGATTTATTTATTTCTTATCTTATATAGTTCTTTCAAACCTTAACACGTGAAGAAGAAGGTCACAAGACAGTGTATTGATACTTTGAGGTGGGTTTGGAAATATATTTACAGTTATTTTTAAAATATTTTGTATTTAAAAATATATTAAAATAATTTTTTATTTTTTAAAAATTATTTTTGATATAGAATATCAAAACAATTCAAAAACACTAAAAAAATATTATTTTTAAATAAAAAAATTAAAATTTTTAAAAATACATGTTCGACTTGGATTGCAACGATCTCTTGGTCTTCCAATTCCAAGCTCGAACCCATTCAACTTAGGTTTCTGAAACCTCTTATTCTACCCAAATATGCAGCACCCTAAAGCGGTGACATTCTCTCCTGCTTTGAATGCATTATTTTACCCTTCCCTATTCTAAAAAAGAGTTGTCTTTATAGTTAGAAGGTAGGGGAGGAAAGGCAAACAGAGAAACCACTTGTTTTACCCGAGAGTTTCTTAGTTATCAGTCTTGGAAGAAACCAAAGATGTCTAAAACTGAGAGGAGAAAATTGGCTTTTTGCTCAAAGATATCTCACACACAACGTCACTTAATTATAAGAATTTTGAAAGTTTCTGTCATAAAAGGTATTTCAATGATGTAGAGGGTTGAAAGGGTGGTGAAGTTGAGTTAGTGTAGCTACTATACTTTTAAAACAAGTTTCTTTATTGGTTCGGAGATCCACTAATGCTTACCTCAGTTAAGATTAAAGAATGATATATTTGCCATCCACAATTTTAAACTACTCGAGGAGGATAGAGTATTAATAACAACAACCAACCACCCAATTGGTATTATTTTTTACGGGCGGCGTAGGTTAAGCATAATTGAGGGCCAATATTGAATCAATTCTTAGGATGACATGTATTTGAGGACTGTCTCTATATTTAATGTGGGTACTGAAATTACTGTCAGCTAACTTAGGACCAGTCGGGATGCCAGTGATATCTCCTTAAGCCTGTTTTCTTTCACAAAGGGGGAATATACCACCGGTTAAGGGTTAAGTTACTCAGGGTGAATGCTAGCGTCTAAGTTAGAGCTGGTGGTTACGTCCTTGGACCAGGACCCGGACTCGTTGACGGGACTTTGAACCTAAATCCAACCCTATCAACACCCAATCCCTCACTCCTCGCTCACCCTTTCCGACAAAAATAGCGTTGATGTTACGCGACCATTTGCGAGTCTTACCAATTCATACCACGACTAGAATCTTCATAATAGGCCAAAATATTGCAAACGCCATGGTCATCATCATTGTTGTCGTTGGAGGAAAGCCATCCAACATATTTTCTTGTTGCAGAAGGTATGAATTTAGCCGCCATGACGTTGACATTTTAACTACTTTTAACTCTTGCATTTTTTATCCCCAGCAATGCTCCATGAATTAGTAGACAAACAAAAAAAGTGACCATATATTGTAATATTTGTTTTGAAGAGAATTTTCTAGTTCATAGAACCAATTGTACAAAATTTGCATTGTAGAGTAAATTGAATTCCCTAATTAGCTCGGTTTAACATACTTACAGGGAACCCTGTATGAGCAACGAAACACACTCCACTAGGAAAAGTGCAGCCTAATGCAAGGGCCAACAATTGACCGCCCCTACATTACACATGAACTACCGAAGCTCTTTAGGCAGTTGGCAAGATGATAGAGCTCTCAGCTGTGGTTATGCTGCGAAGAATAAAAAAAAAAAGCAGCACAAGAGCTCACGAGGTGTGCGGGCCAAAGTATCCACTAGGAAGCATATTGTTCACTCATTATTTTATAAGCCCGTAAAATACAAATGTAACGGGCAAAAGCATCCACCGTTATCATATTAAACATTATAGAGATATATGTAAACTGTAAATTGTTGTTTTCATCATTTGTGCTGTGGCCTTGAGAAAAAGTTACTACTATTCTGAAGGAGTGGAGAGTAAATTTGGTGACTTCAAGCTCTCGAAGCCTTTCAGACAACTTGAGATTTCTGGCGCTTCGTGCACTGAACAATAGGCTCCTTGACCTGCAAAAAATATACAAGTCCCATTGTATCGGTAAAACAAGTTCGGGGGTTTCAATAGGATTGTTCCATGCAGGTAAGAGCTACAACCAGTTATGGTGAGGAAGTTGAAGCATACCGTGCTCGTCTTTCTGGACCGCTTATCTTGAGAGGATCTGCTGCAGATAACTGTATCTGCCTCGTCAAGGTAATTTGTGTTTCCATTTGCTCTGACGTTCTCCTTTCCTGGAAAAAAACTCTCTCTTGAAGCAACAGGCTGCACAATTACAAAAATAAGTCATCGCTAGTTAGCTATGGAACGGAACTACTTCTGGGATTTGTTGATATGCACAGAGGAGAAACTCCACATCTCAACTAACCTCAGCCCTGCTTGTAGGAGTGTTTCCATGGTCCCATGTCTTTGAGATGGTCTGCTCACACCTAGCTGATCCATTTTGATTCATTTCTGATCTGATCACCATGCGTGTAAGATCTGAACCGATGGAGTGGAGAACACCACATGTTGAGCCATCCTTGTAGTCATTCCCTGATAGTTAAAGAAACATTATATGGTAGCAGTTCCTGGTGTTTAGATGGAGTGTAAATAAAAGAACCAAAACTAGGATTCTAGGAAAAGTTTGAATAGGTACCCATTTTCTGGGATTCTGGACGGTTGGATTTTTTATGTGGTTGATTAGTATCAATGTCCTGCTCAACACAAAAAAGTTAAGAACTTCATATCTAAATCAGAAGCAGCGGTTAAATAATGATCTCAAAAATCACCATAGCATCATTG